GTGTTTCAGCGAAAACTATTCAAATCATGAGCTAACTGATTTTATTCGTTAAATTGATTGAGGAAGGACTTTGACAGCAGATGTGTGCGATCGACAACTCTGCTGAGAACACACCTGCTAACCAATGGCCTCTTATATCACTTTCAGCGAAAAAAATCTATTCCTTTTTTGAAATAATTGATTTTTTTTTGCTTATGATGACGCGTGGGAAGGCCTAGGTGGTGATGGCTATAAGGCGGCGATGGCTACCAATTTTTCGTATTATCCAAGAGTATTTTTACCGGAGAAGGTTTACTCTTACTTGATTCATTATATCAATAACTTGGTTCTTGAAATTTAACGCTAGGGTTAATGAAGTTAAAGCTTAGGAAACATATTTGTTGCAATTAATTTTGTTTGTTGAAATATACAATCAAGAATGTTGAAATTAATTGAAAAAAAAGTTTATTAACCGTGAACTATTTCAACTTCTGTAAGCTCAATCCAAGATACCAACCGGATTCAAAAGTGTTTTTTATACTAATGAGCAGGAATAGTATTGGTACGCGATCTAACAGAATGCCAAAAAGTGTGGCTTTTTTTATTAAATAGTTTCACTTCTGAAAGAGGAGAACGATTGAATTGAATCTATCTAGTACCAAGAACGGCAGTTCATAAAAGATTGTGAATAATGCATTGTTTTTACAGACTCAAAAGAAGTTCGAGACTCATAACTTATTTATGGGTCTATTTACGCCTAGTTACAATAAAAACATGTAAAAAATTAATTTCTGCGGGTATGAGTTATGCAAACTCATCTTAAAAGGCAGCTGCAATACTTTTTCCAGCAATTTTTTACCAACACCGGATTAAGGAAGAAAAGCGTACGCACCCCTCCCTCCTCCCTCCCCCCCCCCCCCCCCAGAGATTCGACCCCCTGCCTACTGGAACCAGTTCTAAATATTTATGATGGAATACCACTATAAAATATTTATAACTAACCAATCATATTCCTTCTCTAACATTTACACTTATTGGTAAGTGCTGAAACTACTTGTAGTTTCAGCACCAGAACAATTTAAATATTTAAATAAAACTTAGATTACAGTTGTTCTCCTTCTGCTTAAACTCCAAGAACTAACTCGCATAAACCAGTATACACTAGATCTATTGAGACTAGGAGATATAAGAGTAAGATTAAGTTTGGTATTAGACTAAGAAGTTGCACGAATCTATCCGGCTGAAAATAAGCGTGACGAGCAGACGGTGTACCTTATCTGAAATTATTCTATGAGTATAACCAATAGGTCATAACTCACTACCCAAAAGGTCCCCCCTTTGTATTATTTTTGAGACACCGATTTTTGACTGACGAACCCAAAGTTTTTTAAAGGCACCTTTGGTGCCCAAATATAATAACTTTGAGGGGAGAGCATCCGCCGAAAGGACGCAATTTTTTGGTCAAACTTTTGCAAAAAATCCCTAAAAATGACTTTTTTGTCCTGTTTTTTTTTTTCAAAATGGGGTATTTATAAGTGATTTGGGAGAGCTCAAAAAATCAATTTGGTCAGACTCCGAACGCCGAAAGGCGACTAAGACGACAATGTTTCAGTGACATCGAGGTCATCAGGACGAAACAAACGCTAAACTCAGTTTTTGGCAGCCCAGTCAAGTATGCGATCAAAGCAGTAGAGGAAACGACAATTGACAGATCTTCTCAGTCCCTATCTTAGAAGGCAAAATGGATACTTCACCAGTACCAAGGAGGAACATGAAAGTTTTTGAAAAGAGTATACCGAAACTCTAATCTGTCAAGCATTTTGAAATTTGTTTTGTTGCTGTGCAAACTTTGTGCTAAATACCCAACATTCATATCTCAAATCTACTTTGTAATTTTTTGTGGAGGGGGAAATTGCACGGCACAGTGTACCGTGCTTAGCTTTAGCTGTATTAATTGAATGGCCTATATTATTAAATGGAGGTTTGCACGGGTACCCCCGATTTGGCTGCGGCCTACTCCTTTTCTAAACCTAAACTCAAATTGCAAGAAAACCCCACCTGCCCACTTGAGACATCTTCCCACCGGAACCACCCCACCTGAACCATCAAACCATTACCCCCCCCCCCCCCCCCCGCCGCACCTGAACCAACTCCCTGCCGGAACCTCCACTTGATCCGGTTCAGTTAGTATGGGTGTGGGAGGTTTGGTTGCTGGGGTTCATGTGGGGGAGGGGGAGTTGGTTCAGTTGGGGGAAGAGTGTTGTTTCAGGCGGGGGCGGGGTTGGTTCAGGTGGGAGATAGGATACAAAGAGGGCAAAGGGGCAAACATGGGGGGAGTTTTAAGAGGGTAATTGTTAAAATTAAAAAAAAAACAGTTTGCAAAAAATTCCGTTAACCTCTCCCGCTTAACGTTTGCCCCTTTTGCTCACTTACAACCCCTAGCCCAACCTCGTTTGCCTTTTTGCCCCCACCCACCTGAACCACCCCCCCTCCCCCCTGACCATCTCTGACATCCCCGGCCTTGTTCAACCACCCCCTTCACCCAGCTGACCCACCTGGGGAGGTGAGGGGGGTTTGGTTCAGTCGGGGGAAGGCGGGGGAAGAGTACAAAGGAAGCAAAGGGGCCAACATGGGGGAGGGTTGTAAGGGGCAATTGTTGGAAGGAAAAAAGTTAGTTTTTGAGTAACATAAAAAGTAACAAAAAATCAAAGTTGCGCAGAAACTAATTTAAATTGATTAACAAGTATCTAACTTTAGTTGAAAACTTCATGTGCGTTGAAACTTGCATCTGAATAACGTGGAAACAGATCAGTATTTTTTAGAATCATTTTTTTTCCGCTTTTGTGGAAACTTATAATGATACTCAATTATAATCGATTTTTATTCGTGAATTTAGGTTAATCAATATTTATATTTTTCAAGATTTTAAAATATATATATGGTTAACTTGCTCAACTTTTATAAATCTTTATCGTTTCTATCGTAGTTTTGACAATTAAAGGAGTTGTTTTTATCAATTAGCCCGTAAAATTCAAAACTGTGTTTTTTCGTCCTATAGTTTTTCTAACGGCCCGGGTTGACCTCCATAGACCGAAAATGCTAATCATACAATTTCATACACTTAGTCTATGGAAAAATGCTAGTCATACAAATTTCATGCATTTTTGCAAAATGAGTTTAATCGAATTTTAAAGGTATTTTATAGTTGTTTTGGTATCGAAATTGGTGTCTCTTCATAAATAAAAGGAAAAAAAGGTATGAAAAAAAAATGCTAACCATACAATTTCCATATATGGAAATTGTATGATTAGAATTTAAAAAAAAAAAAATTTTGTGAAAAAAAAGCTTTGAACAATCAATTCAACTGCTGGCAAAGCATTTAAGCGTTTTTTGGGCTGCTACGACAGAAAACTTTGACTTTTTTATTTTTGTTTTCTGAAAAAAAACACCAGTCATACAATTTCCATATATGGAAATTGTATGACTAGCATTTTTTTGATGGCGACTACGAAAGTTTTTGAAATTGCCCCCAAAAATTTTTCATGTTTTTTTTCAACCGCAAATTGATTTTCGTATTCAAACAAACATTTTTTGAAAAAATTTTTGCATGCAAAATTTAATTTTTTTGTGTGTATAACGTAGTCCTGGATATACTAAAATTGGATTTTTTTCCTTTTCTCTTCATAACTTTTTTCAAAAACGCTTAAAACTCCTCGTTCTTTTGTATGACATGTTTTTGAATGCCTTGATCAATGTTTGGTAATTTAAAAATTCAAATTTTAGAAATAATCATCTTTGAAAACTATTGCCAAAATTTAAAAGTTCATTACTTTCGTTATATTGTTTGTCTGAGACAGAAGTAACACATATCAGGCTGTTTCCAATGCATTTTCAATGCGAGAAGGCCAAACCGTTTGAGTAATCAAGGTTTATGTCATTTGTGTTCGGTTACGAACACAACCAAAAAATTTTGAGAAATTAAAATGTAAAAAATCAATATTTTTGGTTTATGGAAAAATGCTAGTGATACAATTTCCATATATGAAAAAAATACTAATCATAGACCTTTCATGCAATTTTCTGTACGTATGGAATTGCATGAAAAGTGTATGACTAGCATTTTTCCATATATGGAAATTGTATGACTAGTACTTTTGGTCATCCCGGGGGGGGGGGGGGTATTCTCACGATGGAGAGACCAAATGATGCAAACCGCAGAACTAATCAGAATCGCTAGACGTTTCCAATCGCTCACTGTTCTTTGCTCAAATTCGTAGCATTGTTGACAGAAAACGAATTGAAGTAAGTAGCACAGCAATTTTTTTTCCGTAGAACTCACGCTTATATATAATAATCGACATCGATTTCGCAGTTTTTCTAAATTTTCATGTATCAGTATGGTCTATATTAATCGTAATGGCCTGGAGTTGCGTACTTTGAGGTTTTTTAATACTTAATTCTGAAAATAACAGATACTAAAGGTGAAACTTTTGTTTTTTCCATCACCGCTAGCCCACATGAAATATTTTTGAAATTAGATAAGTGAATGAAAGCTAAAAATTTCTTAAGTCAGATTAACTACTCTGATTTTCTACAAATTTTTATAATTATGAAAAAATCACTTCACTCGCAAAATTCAGAAACAGCAAAAAGCACTTACTATAATACAATACAAGCGTATTACCAAACCAATCACATTATACATTACTTTTTAAAAATATTTTCTTAGGTAAATATAAAATTTAGTCAAAGAAAACAAATCCGAAGGCAATCAGCAAAAACAACTCCCTCAAAAGACTTATTTGTCTGACTTTTATATGGCATCTACAGAATTTTTCATTGCCATACTTCTAAACAAGTTTTCAACGGGATCAGACTTCTAAGCGAGTTCCAAATTGTTTTTTTTTTAGTTTTTGGCTATGTGACACTGTATAATAAGGAAGGAAGTTTTGACCAATCAGAGAGTAGGAAATTTTGAATTTCAAATAAAATTCACCAGTCCTAGTTTGCTGATTTTTTTTGTGAAAATTCATTTGTAGATACTATAGGGGGATTGTTAAGTATATCCACAGAGTTTTTCTCATGAAACTCCAATTGCTACAACACGAATAAAATGGCAACACGAATGCGACATAAATAAAAGGGCTACAAAATGATATATCACTTCTGCAATAAATGGATATCCATTTTTTCAAAACTGAACATTTTAGTTTGACAATAAATACAAAATTAAAGGAAAGCGTGGGTTATTTTAGGATTAAAATTGGGAAGAAGTTTAAATTATGGGCTAAAAGCGTATAATTTTATGCTACAGTTAGACATTTATAACAGCGTTTTAGCGATACAACAATAACCACCACTGTTTCAAAACCAGTACAATTCTATTTATTTTTGGTCATGCCAGGATCACTGAAGAACCCGAAGTTGCTTCTTCTGACGGAGAAATCGTTGCCCACGGACAAACTACTAGATGCGGTCCTGATAGAACTCTCGCCCATGGACGATACTTTCTCCGCAGTTCCCTCTTTCTCATTCATATACTTCTCAAATGATTGCTTCTTCCCTCGAATTCTGAGATACTCCGTCATATCGAATACAAAATCGACCAGCTCCAAAACTGTCAAAACACTGATTCCCAAATAAAGTCCTAGAAGGCCGCCAAAGTTCGAAATAACCAGAACGAAGTTATAAACTGACCGCTCCACTATAACTGTTTCAGAGAGGTCACGAAAGTACACGGTCACACTTCCGAAAGTTGACCTCAACTGGGTCAATGCGGTTTGAGAGTTCGCATTCTTATCATCTGAGTACTTATCAATTGCAGTCATGAGATAGTCAACTGCGGAGCCATTTAGATCATGGTAAACACTGGCCACAAATCTCGCAATGGATCGGTTTGTTGGCCACTCAAGTTGAGTAATCTGGACGCCAAACGACTTAACACTGCATTCATTCGGGCAGTCACATGCGATGTTCGGGTTTGTGTTCTCGTTTATATAGTCAACACATGCTCGAGCTTTGATTTGACTGATGTTGCACAGCGGGTGCTCTTTGATCAGAAGGTTGTCGATGCACCCACATTCTTCCACTTTCAAGCTAGGAATGAGTGATTATGCTTTGAAGGTAACTTGATAGCTTAACAGGGAAAAAACTTATCTACCCTTGGTTTTTGCTATTTTTGAAACTTTCGAATTTAATACCGAACGCTTTGGAAGGAGGTATGATTGGTCAAAATTAAATTACAAAGTTGTAGAAATTTTGACTCGGAATAGTAGGATATTGTAAAATGACTTTACAATATCCTTTTGCTTACAGCTAAGTTTTCACCTCTCAGTATTTTAAATATGAGCAGAGTTTGAGTACAAAATCATACTTCCATCCAAACAATTCGGTATATTCGAAAGTTTCAAGGAGATAATTTTCATTTTGTCGATATAAGTGGTGATTGTATAAGGGTTTTTTAACGGCAAAATGTAGATGCAGACGGTTGAATAGCAAAAACTAGCTTAGTCGATTTAAAAAATAACAATGAAAAAAAAAACTACAAAATACAAATAACTTACAAATCTAAGCATTCCATTAGACATTCGAGACGTGTGTTGTACATTTGCAGTCTACCCTCGCCGTAATTTTCACAAAAACTGAAAGGATATGTCAACTTCTGAATGTTACTTGGCTGAACAGAAACCAGGTGTTCGAATCCTGGCGGGAGACTTAGCTCACTTGCGAAATCTATGAAGATGTCTCCATTGCGATCAACCAATCCTGGCGGAGTTAGAAACATTTTCAGTCCAGAAGTCGGAGTAAACAACCCCAAAGTGTCATATACCTCAAGGTTGAACCAAAGGCTTAATCCATAGTTTTTTCCACTTGAAGTGACCGGCCCGTAGTTTGTGAACGAGAAACAGTTGCCGTAGTCTGGTGACACAGTTTCATTTATGATCACACTTTCATTGCAGTCTTTGTTGTTGGCACTGCACTTGATGATCATTTCCTGAAAAAATATCAATATTTTGTTTTGGTCAGAGTTAGAGACAAGAAATCGAGAATTATTATAACAAAATGGTTCTTCAAAATATATTCTCTGAGCATGTTTTAAATGGCGGAATGATCATTTCACTCACGGATCGGTTATTTCAATTTGCAAACCTATTGATGAAAGATTTGTGGCTCTCAGATTTTTCTGGTCAAAAGGTTTGGCTATTCGCACCTCAAATTAGCTGAAAGCTGAACTCTTCATCACTAGATGCCTTGGAAGATTAGATTTTTTTTTTCATTTTGAATATAGATAAGGTACCCTAATAGATAATCTGATTGCCTGTTACAACTGATTGCATTCTATAACTGATGTTATAAATGATACTCTCAAAGCATGCGTTTATTTTCTTAGTTATAAATTGATCGCTTCAATTCAAAAAAATATTTGTTAATTTTGTGAAAATCTTGTCAGAGTTTTGGTAAAATCAAACACAAAGCTATTTTAAAGCGACAATTTTTATGCTCAAAAATTTATGTTTTCAATTTTTTCAGGTTTTGAACATAGCTGACAGACAGTTGGAAAAGAGACAATGAACGCAATTAAACAAGAAAAAATTACTTTCGAATTTCTTAGAAAAACAATAGATGCCCTTTAAATTTTTCGAAAGTCTAGAACAAATTATGATTGATGTTTTTTGATTAAGTTAACCCAATTTGAGACTACTGAATCAATAGATAAACTTCTTATTCCGCAGGGAAAACTGAAAATTAAATTCTTATCTGAAAACTAAAGTCGATTACTTTTTTTGTGATCTTGACTTTTTTGTGCCCTTGACATTTTTGCTGTTAGACAGTAGAGCTTGCGTTCCTTTTCATATTATAAGTGAACTGAAGTTAAAAAGAATTCATAAATCAAACGGCGAAAAATCTTCAGACTTTTCCTAAAAAAAACGAAAAAAAGAATCTTCAGCACCTATAAAAGAGTGTGAACTATCATCAACCCTTAAACATATGAATGGTTCCTAAGTAAACGTTCTCAAGGCAAGTGATAACTGGCTGGTGATCATTTAACTGGCAATAGATAACTTCAAACTTAAAAATTTAAGATAAAAGTATTGCCAAAAACGGGTCACTTTTTTAGCTGATCCTGATCCCAAATCAGCTGAAAGCAGAATTTGTCAAGTTGAGAAAACTTGGCAAAAATTAAATTTTTGTGATTTTGAACCTACTCAAAGCATGTTATAATTGACAGGTTGAGAATTTCATAGCTGGATTGAACTGTTTAGAATGAAAAATGATTTTTTTGTAAGAAATGGATGAAACAGTGTTCACAAGGTTTGAATGTTTAGACCCAAATTTAGCTGAAAACGGATTTCTTCGTGTTGAGAGGATTTGAGATGTTTGCTTAATTTCTGATTTTGAACTTGCAAACTTCTGCTCAATAGATTTTCTCAATAAATGTAATAACTGGCGGATTGATCAGATCAACTGAAAACTATTTTGAATGGTTTTGCAAAAAATTGGGCAGAATTTTTGGCTATTTTTCCAAAATTTAGCAAGAGTTGTATTGTTCACATTGAGATTCTTCAACAAGAACTGTTTTTCTTTTCTGATTTTAAATGGTTGCCTGATAGATTTAGAAGATGTTGCCTGATAGAACTACTATTATAACTGGCGAGTTGATCATTTTAATTAGGAAAGAAACAACGGTTAGACACTGGTGAGCATTTGGTCAAAATTATGGCTTTTCAGACCAAAGTTTAGCTAGGAATATCATTTTTGTCATGTTATGAAGTCGCTAGAAAAACTGCTTGTTTTGTAATTTGATGTACATAAATGGTTCTCCAATTGATTTTCTCATGTCCAGTTGATCCTTTCAATCGGTGAAAAATTCATCTTTTGGTTTGGTTTTAACATATTTTGTTCTCAAAAATTATCGTGTCGAAAAATTATGTGCTACTCGCAGCGACTAGCATGATATGTTTAATCAGTTTTTACAAAAAAAAATCCTAAAAAGCACCTAATAGAAAAGTACTCGCTGATTTTTTTTCGTAGTCTTATCATGTTACGACGAAAACTCGAGGAATCACTTCACGAATATATAGCAACATTTCCTATTAAGAAGGAATAATCATTAACTTAAATGACATTTTCGCCTGTAAATGGTTCAGCTATAGTGGTTGGAACATTTTTCCTGCTTGCAGGGGACTTATTTGCTACGCTTATCATGCATTTGACAAAATTCAGTTCCAAAAAACTACCCTATACTAAAGTTTAATGAGAAAAAATTGGTTTTTGATTCAATATATTGGCAAAAAACTTGAATAAGATAATCGATTTTCATGACCTATTTAACCATGAGAATGGAGCTCTAGGGGATTTATATCAAATTTTTTTATTTTTCAAAAAATCATTATTTTCCATTTAATCGGTTGTTCATAAAATCCATGTAAATTGAATATATTTTTATAAAAAAAATTGGGAAAATAAAATAGTAACCGCCATGAGAAATTGTTCGAACCAGATTTTGAATTTCCACGGAGGGTCTAGATTCGCTGACGCCCAAAATACCGGAATTCCCATATCCGTTCTGTTATCTTGAGCTGCGAATCCTGCTGACTGCGCCATGTGATATGCGTTGCGATATCGATTGAAAACAAGTTGTAATTCAATACTGTATTTGGAATATTGAATTTAGGTTTTTGTTTTCTTTTGTTTGGATTGGTTACTGAGAGCTAGATCAGTGTTACGAACTCTGATCTCTCACTTAGTCTCAATGTCATCACACACTATGACACAGTATACCATAAAAGTAATAAGTAAGCGCCATAGATTGGTTGTACATACATAGACAATTAGTGCTACTGCAGTAGCGGTATGACACACCCCCCTCGGTGAAAGAAATAAATTATACAACATAAGTAGGATAATTTCTTTAAAAAAAGTTCACTATACTCAGTTCATAGGAAAGTCTCTGGGTTATTTGACGGTTTAGTTTATAGAATTCTCAATTTTCTTCCAACTCTATTTCCCAACTCGGGTTCCATTCAACCCCTTCGTCTAGTGTAGCATACCCAAATTTTCGCATGAAGAGGTGTCTTTCAAGTCGTCTTACTTTTGATTCCATTGGTCTATCGCTTCGTTCCTTGAAGTCTCTTAATTGATTTCTATATTCCTGAAGTGCTTTCTTCAGAAGTGCTCCCCCTGTTAGGTTTTCTGATATCTCTTTAATTGAGTGCTTTATCGGGTCTCCAAAGCGTTTCGGTTCCTTGTTTTTCGTTTGCCTGGAGCTTCGTCTGATACCCGACTCTTCAGTACTCGACTCATCCGAGAATCCTTGTGGTGGTTCGAAAATCGTATCTTTTTCCGAAATTTGTTGTGGATTTCCTCTGATTTTGTCTGCAACTCGCTGTGCTCCTCGTTTTAGCAATTGGTCTGCATATTTCTCCCACTCGGACGGTGCTAAATTTCGATTGTGGAATCTGTCGATTATGTCCTCTGGGGGTGTTTGGGAATCAATACATTTCAATTTCGACCGCTGTTTTGATTTAGGTGTAGAGCTTGATTGATTTTTATTGTCTAATTTTTCCGGCCTTGACGTGGATTGCTCCTGTTCCGGGTCGACTGCCGTCGCAGTTTGGCTTGTCCCCTGTTGCTGTTTGTTTTGATTTTTCTTTTCTTTTACTTTTTTTTTCCGACTTCTTGGTGTCGCCTTCCTCTATAGTTGATTTTGAGCCCGCCAAATTTGGTTTTGCTCTTTTGATTGCCAAGTTCAGACCTCCCCCTGCTTCTATGTCTTTTAAATTCACTATTGTTTGGCTTTTTTGAAAACGCTCTATGGGATTCCTCGTATCTGCGATCTCCATTTCTAATTGTAGTTCTTCATCTGATCCCAACTCCTCGAGTAATTCGGGGGAACTGATCCTCTGAAACTTTTTTGTAGGTTCCACCGATGGACTTTTACTCGCGCTTCGCTGATTTTCTTGTGTCAGCACCGTTTTCGATTGTGCAATATCCGATTTCCTATAGATAGAGCCTGTAGACGTCTTGATCGTTGAGTCTGTTTCGGAAGCGATTTTCCCTTTTAATTGTTTGGTTAGTGCTTGTCCGCTTTTTCTTAGTGGGTCCTTTCTGAGTATTGTTTTAGGTGGTGATTTACATTGATTTTCCCAAGAATAATTCTCCCAAGAATAAATCATCTCCTTTCTCCCAAGAATTGATTCCTTTCTCCCAAGAATAAATCATCTCCTTTCGAAGATCGGGATTTAGTAGTCCAGTCTCGTCCACTAATCTTCTGATATCGTTTTTAGCCGCATCTCTTCTCTCGTTGTTCCAGCGGGCGTTCGCCTCCAACAACTCCTTTAGAACTTTAGCCCTTTCTTTATCTCTGTCCGATGTTAGCAGCTGCTTGTGCAGTGGGCTTGTATCTCTGCTGAGTTGTCCCTTGCGTACTATTTTGAGGTTCTCTCTCGACTGGTCAATTCTACGTTTCAAATGGGAAGCCGTCAGTGCTGAGCGTTCCAAGTGTTGTTTGTCTAAATAGTCAGAGTTATTTAAAAACCTATCCCTCACAATTTTAAATTCTGTTTTTGGTAGTCTGCCAAAATGCACTTGAAATGGGGATACTTGAATGGTTTTCTGCTTGTTCCACCGTAAACCTCTCATTATAATACTAAGACATAATTGATTGATTTATAATTTTCTTCGAGCACATCACCCCCAGTCTTCTTTTTATAGTTTGGATTGTACGTTCGACCAAACCACAGCCTCGGTGGTCCCCCACCGGACAGAATTTTTGCTCGATTTTGAAATCCGAACAGAATTTTTTTAGCGTTTTCCCCTTAAAACCTGAAAATTGGTCCGAACGAATTGATTCGGGAATCCCATGTGTGTCGATATATGATCTCAAGAATTTTACTGTGCACTTCCCACTTGTATATTTCGTAACCTTTATTGATGAAAATTTTGAGAATCGATCTATCGCTACTAAGAGGTAAATTTTTTTTTCCTTTTGGATTTTCTATGGGCCCCGCGTAATCTAATTGTACTTCCTGTCCCGGCTGCGTGAGCAGTGGCAGTGGTTTTGACGCATTTTTTGAAATAAGATATTTTACCTTCTTACCATATCTGGTACAGCTACGGCACTCCTCTGCCAGATTCACACTGTCCTTATACGGGGACTACTAGCCGGTTATTCACCAAGATGCAATCGTCCTGAACTGCCATCTGTGACCACAACGGGTTTGTATAAGGTCCCATTAGTTCAAAGCCTTGTTTGTCCCCTCTTTCTATCACTCTTCTAAGGCGGTCCATCCACGTGTCTTCGGTGGTTAATTCTGCTAGTAGATTTTTGTCGAACAGTTTTGCTGAATTGTCCAGAGTCTCTTCTTGTTGCTGCTTCGGCAGTTTTATTTTTCCCAGTCTCTTCGGCGGTTCTATTGAGCACACTTCTTCTTCACTCTCCGCCTCTTCTGTAGTCGTCAGGTCCATTTCTATTACCTGCACCTCACTTAGTTTCCTTTCCGCCGATGCGATTGGTTTCTTCTTGTGTGTGTGCCACCAGTTCTATATTTTCCCGTATATTGTCTTCTCCGCCTATTAGTTGCCAGAATGAGAGTAGTCTTTGATCTGCTTCTCTTTGTTGATCCGGTTCGAGCTTCCGTTTCACCCGTGATGCTTGCCGTGTTTCACTGTCGGAGCTATCTCTGTTTTTCCGGCCACCTCTGATGATTTTTCTTGTACGCTTCCTCGTTTCGCCATTCTTGTGGTGAGTCCAACCACCAATCGTATGATCTGTTTCCTGGCATCTCGTTCCTTGAGTCAGTTTTTTTTGAATTTCTAGTACTGGTTGTTTTACGATTTTTGAGTTATTTGAGACCGACTGTTTGTTGTTTGATTTGACGAAAAAGTGATCTGTTTATGTTGAGCTGCAGTGTTTAGCTGTTTTTGCAGTCGTGAAAACTGTTTTTTTTTCGTTCCGGTCGAGCTTTGTTCGTTTTTGACCGTTTTGGTTGTTATAGCAACCATTACTTGATGACTGTTTCTTTGCATTCCTTCTAGAACATTCTAGAACGTTTTCGTTCCGGTTGAGCGACCCAGTTCTTTAAACCTACTGTTCCTGCAGTCGAACGCTTCATGAAAGGAGTTTATTGTCGCTACTACAAACTTTTCGTCTAATTCTGATTCGGGCCAGGGATCATTGAAAGGATCACGCGATAAATAATCAACTATGCCCATGTCCCTCCCCGGAATGTGAACTATTTTGAACTGATATGGCAATAGTGGTCTTAATTTTTCAGTCAGGCTTGCTGCGTTAGGTATAAATTTAGCTAAGTGATTTATACTTTCCAAAAATGACCTTAACTGTTTAAGCAATTTCGGCGGGTTCAAATTTACCACAGCTTCCGTTTTAGTGATTTTTGGTCTAACCCTTGCTTCTGAGAGGTGATGACCTAACCAATTCACTTCTTGTTTGAAAAATTCGCACTTTGATAGTTTCAATGCCAAATTTTCCGCATCCAATTTCTTTAATACTGCTTCTACCAAATTTCCATGTTCAATTTCACTTCCCTTTGACACAATGAGTATGTCATCCAGAAAACAGAACGTGTTTTTAGCGTGGTTGATAGTTCTACCCATGGCCTTTTGAAATTCAGCTGGCATATCTGCTAAACCATAGAACCCTGTCAAAAATCTGTAGGTTCCGGTTGCTTTCCCGCCAACGATGTTGAAGTTGCATTGTCTAGCTGTATCAGCAGCCAATTTTAATTGACTGTACGCATACTTCAAATCTAACACCGAAAAATATAGAGTACCCTTTTTGTTTTCAGTCACAATTTGGCTTACCCCATCAATGAGTTCATCTACATTCGGCATTCGGTAATTATTTTTGAACAATTGTCTATTGATTGGCTTCGCGTCCATTGCCATTTTTATTGAGTCGTCTTTCTTTACTGTTATTACAATCGGAGCGATAAAGCAATCACTCGTACATTTATCAAGTTTTGTTATATGACCTTCTGTCAACAACTTCTCGATTTCTTTTTCGACTTTATCTTGTATGTGAATTGGGATTCTTCTCCCCTTTTCTTGAATCGGACATAATGGATATTTAAATTTTGAACTTACAATGTGGTTTTTCGAAATTCCTTGTCTTTCAAATGAATTTTTAAATTGAGTGAAAAATTTTTCTTTCCAAACTTCTGACTGCTCGCACATGAGCACGTCAAACCTGGTGAGTTCCTTTGGCGCTGATTTTTGTCAGTAACTATTCCCACTTGTCCTTGCAAGTCTAGTCCCATGATACATCTGGTCTTTCGTTCTGATACCAGAAAGGTGGCGCCTTTTACCTCCCAGCCCGCTGACCTCAGATTGGTCTTTAGGGCTCCCAGTATACTGATCGGTTGTTTGTTGTAGTCAACGAATTTGGTTTGTAAATTCAGTTTATCTGACGGAATGAATCTTACTTTGTTTGATTTTTCCATAATTTCCTTCGTTGTCGCCCAATTGAGAAATGAAACTGGACTTCCCTTGTCCACTGTTAATTGAATTATTTGGTTATCTATTCGTACCATAGCCTTTAGTGATTTTACTCGTTTCAATGTTGGATCTCGAATCGAATCTATTTTCTGAACTCGCATCATTTTTTCATTTGAATTGTTCCTCATTTCATTGATTCGATCTTTCACATATTTTGAAACTCTCTCGTTTTCCGGTTGATAGGTTTGTATCGACATAACTTCAAACTCACTACATGACCCAACACTTTCACTTATCTGATCGCATTCCTCTACCGATCCTTCCGAGTCTTCCGCAACTTCGCTTACTTGTTGGGATCTGCACATTTTTGCGAAATGATTGGGTTTACCACGTTTTTTACAGGTTTTCCCCATCGCTGGACAATTTTTCAGATGTCCTTGGTCAAATGTCCTTCCACATCTATTACATGGTTTTGTTTTCGTGTTTTGCTTCTTGTTATTGTTTTGTCTTTTATTCGATTCCTTCCTGTTTGGAGTCTTTGTTGTCCCCGACAAATTTTGAACTGCCATTACAGGTTCTTGTTTTATTCTCACACCCGAGGTGTAATTGTTACTTGATACCCCTGTAACCGCCGCATTAGTCTTTTGGAACGCCATTGGGGTTAACTTGCTATGTTCGAATTTTATAGCCCTTTTCAGAACCTCTTCCGGGTCTAGGGTCTCGAATGTCAGCGTATCCTGCAATGTCATGTTTTTCATTTTTGAAATAAACAGGTTGCGGACTATTTCATTGTCCAATGCTCCCAGTTCTGATCGGGCTGCTTGTGCAGTTAACGCTGCGTGAAACGATTCTAGAGATTCTCCTGATCCTTGCATTCTCGTAAATAGCTTGTATCTTTCGTATGTTACACATTTCACCTTTTAAAACGAAATTTCTGCCAAGTTTGTTATTTCCCTGAACGTCATTTTTGATATTTCAGCATGCGGGTTCTTTTGTAGGAATCTTTTCTTTCCCTCTGTACCCAAAGACAAAAATAATCTGGACACCAATTTCTTTTGTACTTCGTTGTAGAAAACATTGTGTCCGACTCGTGGGCCTCTTGTCTTTCTCTTTTCGTTCTCCAATACTACTCTATCCATTGCTAGCTTATCTCTAAGAATCCTAGCGTTCCTCGCATCTTCATTCTCTCCGTCTCTGGGTGTTTCTGGGCGAGGTGGTGGTTCCTCTAATATGTCTTTTGGTTCTTCCAATATAATCTCTGGGTTCACATTTTCTTTGACCGTAACCGCCATGAGAAATTGTTCGAACCAAATTTTGAATTGCCACGGAGGGTCTAGATTCGCTGACGCCCAAAATACTGGAATTCCCATATCCGTTCTGTTATCTTGAGCTGCGAATCCTGCTGGCTGCGCCATGTGATATGCGTTGCGATATCGATTGAAAACAAGTTTTAATTCAATACTGTATTTGGAATATTGAATTTAGGTTTTTGTTTTCCTTTGTTTGGATTGGTTACTGAGAGCTAGATCAGTGTTACGAACTCTGATCTATCACTTAGTCTCAATGTCATCACACACTATGACCTTGAGTATACCATAAAAGTAATAAGTAAGCACCATGGGTTGGTTGTACATACATAGACAATTACTGCTACTGCAGTAGCGGTATGACATCAATTATCCATTTTTAATAATTTGTTATCAATTATTTTTGATTTTTGAAGAGACAGACAATGAAAGCTTAATATAATCAGTTATTATCCATAAAGAGGTAAAACGTAAAACAAGCCTCATTTGTGATTTTTGATCAATGATTTGATGACATTGCTGTATTACATGTGGGCAGGTTTCAAATGAAATATCTAACATTTACTCTAGATTTAAATTTTTTCATCACAAAATTCAGTTTTATTTTTGAAGTTTTGGAAGTTACCATGTTTGATAAAAAATGCTACCATTTTTTGCGCATTATGAATTTATATATTGCATCTTTCTCGTTTAAAAAACAATCAATGATCTTATAATTCAGTTTTACTCAAGATCATCCACGCAAGCAAAATATGTTCAAATTTTGAAGCTGGCTCTTTGTTTTTTGCAATTAAATCTATTTTCTATTTTTCTATCAAGAGTGTTTCTATTTTCAATTCATTTGACGAATCAAAACTCGTTTTGCTATCAGAGTTATCGGCTGGATTTGCCGGGTTAATTTTTCATTTTTTTATTTGTACTAAACGAGTAATAAACTGAGCTTTCTATGTCTGACCAACTTCGTATGTGTGACCCAGAGCGGCCACTTCCTCCATGGGGGCCATAGTGTACCACCTCATGGCCACTGGCCGGCCGAGCACACTCTGGTACTCCCTGTACTGTTCAGAGTCCTTCGGAGAAATCCAAGTATCCAGACTCTCTTTCCAACCACAGTACTCGTCAGAGCCCTGAAATGCAGGGGCGGATTTGAGGGGGGGGGGGGGACGCTTCTCTCAGGGATTCGAACCCCCTGCCGACCTAATGGGTCCCCCTTTGGTGCTTTTCGACCCTAATTTTTAGCCGATCGACCCTAATTTTTTTCTAAAGGCGCCTGTGGCGCCAATATGTACTAGTTTTGAAGGGAAGCGCGCGCTGAGGTATGTAGTAGTTTTGAGGGAAACGTCAAAATTTCCCAAAAAGTGCCCAAAAATGGCTTTTTTGACCCGTTTTTTCAAAAATTTGTCGGCGGAAGAAAATTTGGCCAAAACAAGGGCTTTTTAGTGCTACAGGAGAGCTCGGAAAATTAATTTGTGCGACCTAAAAAAAAGTCGTCAAACTTTTGAATTTTTTTTGAAAATCCGCCACCCCTCGAGAAAACCCTAGATCCGCCCCTGCTGAAATGCATAGAAATTTTATTAGATTATTTGAGAGAACAGTTTTGAATTTCCCTGCATGCAAAATGAAACAAGGATAGCCGGTTACTGTGCAAGTAGCACAGAATGTTCCGACCACAGTCTTAAAAAAATGTTTTCTCAAATTGATTTCGTTTTTTTTCTGCATGTCGTGATAAAAAAATCTGAAGGGAAAAAAAGAATTGAGGCATATTTGAGAATCATAGTAAAATAGGTCAATTAGAAAACAGTTTTTGAAGAAAATGACTAGAAAAACAAAAAAAGTGAAAACAATTTCAATTTTTTTTTTGAAAATTTTTTGCGTAATTTTTTGAATTTCCTAGTTATTGATTCCCAAAATTGCGCTAAAATCCATAAACTACCTTTTCTTCACTAAAACTAAGTTTTCACGGCTTAAATTAAGCTTGAATAAGTTATTGCAATTACTAACTATCCTACTAATTTGCTCGAATCTAGACCAAAAATCAAAATTTTCAAACCAGTTTTTCTCAAAATTGTGAAGATTTGGAACCTGATCTAAACTACATTTTATGATTGGATAATTTAGATATTTTACCAATGTAAAGTATTTAATATTAACCAATCATGATCCATCTAACTAACAACCCACTTATTTGTAAGTGCTGAAGTTACTTGTAATTTCAGCACCAGAGAGATTTGAATTTAACTTAGAAATTAGTTGGACTCTCCCGAGCACTTCAGCAACCGCAATAGACCAGTATACCCTAGATCTATTGAGCCTAGCAGAGACTAGTTAAACAACCTGAGACTAGATAGTATAAGAGTAAGATTAGGATCGGTATTAGACTAAGAAGTTGCACGAATCTATCCGGCCGAAAATAAGATAGCGTGACGAGCAGACGGTGTACCCTATCCGAAATTACTCTATGAGTTAACCAACTCGGTCCTAACTCATCTGGTGCGACCATAAGTCTCGAACAAGACCTTAATAGCTTAGAATTAACCAAAATAGATTAGAAATTAGACAAAAACATTTACAAAATGTTATACGACAATAATTTAATCGAAATGTCTCTACGACTCAATAGATCAGAGCCAATATTCCGAACCATAACAGAACTACCCGGAATTGGAAAAAGACCTCGAACCAGAGACGACATACGACAAAGTAGAAACTTGCCATATAGCTATATGATAGTTAGGCAAAAACCAGAACAAACTTTTATATTTAGAATACTACTGGCAATGAATTTAGATTTTCATTTGCAAACATAAACCTTGAAGTTAATCTTCAAAATCATTTCAGGCGCTAAACAAAATTATTAATATACAATAACGATTGATAAAAAGATCTAAGATCGTTTTCCTAAAATTCTGCAGTAATATACAAAACATGTTTGAAAAATATTTATTGAAAAATAAAAATAAAAATTAGTAGCATGACAATAAATGGTTAGTAATCATAAATCATCCTGTTGTTCCAGCTCCATCACCTAAAACATAACAGCAATCATAAACCCACTAATATCATCAAAACACTAAAACTTTCCTTTACACATATTTAAAATTTTATTAAAACTTAAATTCACTTAATTTTAAAACCAGATCATCAAGGCTTATCCTTGGATCTTAAATCATTTTCTACTTAATTAAATTTCAAATTTGATCATCAAGGCTTATCCTTGGATCAAACAGAACAACTTTGTTCTCCCCCACCCACTTAATTAGTGTCTAACGACCTCAAACGTCGATTCACTACCCAACCCTTTCTAAAGACCCAAGACTAATAGAAATTTTTAAACAAAACTAATCATTCAAATTAGGATAAACAGTGAAGAACTTCGGTTATTCATCCTTCACTTGACCCCCCCTCTTACCAGACCCAGGATAAATCTTAGACTTAGTAAGTTTAAAATAGTATCTAACGAACTACTCGCGTTCTAATTATACCTGAACCTTGTGGATCGATTTACTATTCTCCAACCCTTGAACACAATCACTACCCCTAAGTAAGATTAAGTAAGTTAACACCTTAACTTATACTAGCCACGAGAAAGTAAAAAATCATTCTTCGGAATCGATATACTTTTCTCTCCAACCCTGAACAAACAGACCCAGGTTAAGCTAACCAAAAAATCGTAAGAACTAACAGTTTAAGAAAATAGAAACCATTTAACAATCTTTTGCATCCGTCATCCTAAACCTTATGTCATTTAAAAACCTAGGAAATAAACAAACAATCGTTTTACACAATTGTGAAATAGATAACAAAAAATACGACCTTGTAATCACACCTCATACACAAACAGTTGGATACATTCGAACAAAACGACAAACACTAAAAAGAAAAATAATAACGAAACAAAGACAAATAACACGAAAAAGATTTTCAAAAAACCGAAACGCATTTTCAGAATCAGAAACCAACAGTTTAGACGAACTTTACAAACTAAAAGAATCAATAGATAAAAATTACCCACTTCACGATCAATTATATTTTTCTGACTCAGAAACAACTTCAAATTCATCAAAAAGAGGAAAAAGAAGAATAAAAAAGCAGTATAAACACAAACCAGTACATTTATATAATTGGAATCAACCAATTCGACACATTAATAATTACATATTAATAGTCATCGAACGAAAAAATGAGCTCAACGCACACCCCAGGTGAAGAAAGTCCAGATGATGATGAAATCTTTCCTTTTATAGTAGATGCAACCACTGATAGAGGACAGCATATATTTTGCAAAAATTTACTATTAAATTTATTTGAACCAGGAATCAGTCCATGTAAAACAGAGTTCCCAGATGTAAAAATAAAAAGACAAATCATAGACCACTACTTAAAAGATATATGCAACATAACACAACAGTATGGAATCTACTCCATAGAATTCAACTCACCAAACCATAATAATAGAAAATATACAATTCAAACAGACGATCTTGATTTAGAATTTTCAAAAGTTTTTTCAGAATATATAAAAAGCATCCAATATCATAACTCACAAAGAGCAAACTCCATATTCACCAATGAAGTTTTCGCAATAATATATAGTTATATTTCGATATTAGAAAACGAAATCCCAATAACAAATGTCTCACCGACAGAAACATCTAAACATTTGAAAGTACGACATGAAATCACACTACTCTCTAGTTATTTAAACATCATTAAAGAAAATTTCACGAAAGACGACGTTTCACAACATACAAAACACGATCTACAAAAAATTTTGGCATGGTTCATAATAGATTATTTCACACACAATATTGATTTAATTGCACAAGCAAGAAAAAATTTTAGACCCCAAAACTCGAACGATGATACCGCTATCACAGAACAATCAGATTATGTTTGGGACCCCGAATGGTCTCATCCCGCATTTATAAGCTTCCCACAATCAATCTCAAGTCAAACAATAAGTACGATATCTTACATCAGAGATTATGTAAAAGTAATACCATTAACCATTGATGCGACACCATTAAACTATAATACATTTTTACCCGATACACAAAATAATAGTTTAAACTCTACAGTTATACACAATGAAAACCTCAATGGAACTAGGAATCTTACTCAACAAGATATCCAGACACCATCACACTTCATAAATGAAGAAATTGTACACACAACAACTACAGAACAAAGTATTTCACCAATACGCCCAAATTTAACAACACCAAGAAATACAAATCCTTCACAAACACAGGTAACCTTACAATCAACCGTTAAACCTTCGGTTGCCCCTAAATATTCACATATGGATTACCAAACATACAGACCCATGACAATACCATCAAAAACACACAAAACATTCACTAGAAACAACTTTACAGACCATAATTATAATTATACACATCCATCAAAAACATATAACCAACCACAAAGAAATTTTAACCAATATACAAGATCTCGAAATTGGGATAACCCAATGACCCAACCTAATTCAATAAATTTCCAAACAAATCCTCCACAGGATCACAGTGAAAATTACCCATTTTTTCAACAAAATAAAAATAAAAAACAGACATCTTATCAAATGGATTATTTATCCTCAGATGATGATTTCTTACAACCAGATATATTTGCACCAAATACTCAAGAATATCGTAGACAAGGAATACAGAGAACACGTACAAATCATAGAAATTTTTCTCCACAACCAATAGATGCACAACATCAACAACCAATTCAACAACAAAATCTAATTAATACACAATCTTTTCAACCAATTCAACAACAAAATCCAATGACTGCACACTCGTATCAAGCATCACAAATGCAAAATGAAATACCACTCCCATATTATCTCCAACAACATGAAATAACAAGAAACCAACTTTCGAATTTTTCTCAAATGCCAAATGCAGCAGAATCATTACAAATGACAATGAATCCATACCTTATGGGTGGATCATCAATAACATCAAACAAACCTTTAATGGTTTTCACAGGAACAGACCCTGAATACTCTGTAGAAGATTATTTAAATGCAGTAACAGCAAACCTGATTTTAAATATTGGACCTGAACCAATTAATACGCCACTACATCAAAACTGGATACATCGACGCACAGCGTTAATA